GAGTCGGCTTGCGTGTTAAGAGAAGGCTTGATGTCCTTTACCTATAACATCTCATAGACTAAGCGATCAAACTTGCTGTTACATTTCCTCAGAACTTTGAAAAGATGGTTAGTCTTTGTTCTGTTGTTGCTATGCTGTGTTTCAAGGTGTGTCCCGATGGTTGAATAACGATGTTCACTTATGCGTTGATGTAAGTGTCGGGCAGTGTACCCGACACCTTTACGCCTTATACGTTTTCAATTTTCAACTTGATAATGGCGTAACGTAGCGCCGAAACGTCGTTCACTTTTTTAAATGTTTTTTAAATGTATTTTAAAAATCTTTTAGCGTTTAACTTTTTGATGAAATCATTTTCGAAATCTCTCCTGTTACGTAAATAATAATACTATTACTACTACTACTACTACTACTACTACTACTACTACTACTACTACTACTACTACTACTACTACTACTACTACTACTACTACTACTACTACTACTACTACTACTACTACTACTACTACTACTACTACTACTACTACTACTACTACTACTACTACTACTACTACTACTACGTCAAGGCTGTATTTTAAGTCCTCTTTTATTTAACCTCTATTTAAACAATCTACCACTTTTATTCGAAAACACCTTATCTGACCCATTTGTTCTCCCAAATGGGAAAAAAATAAATTCACTTTTGTACGCAGATGATTTAGTTATTCTATCAAGATCGAAAACTGGATTACAGAACTGTTTAAATGCGCTTTCTTTGTATTGTGACAAATGGAAGCTAAAAATTAATCCCAAGAAAACAAAAATTATGATATTCCAGAAACGCCCAAAAAAAATCTATTGACATCAAATTCAACATAGGCAGTGAGTCAATTGAAATTGTCCAAGAATACACTTATTTAGGTACACGTTTAACTCCAACGGAAACTTTACACTTGCACTCGAACACTTAAAAGAAAAGGCCCTTTACGCGTTTTCTAGTATTCGGAAGCGGACAATTCTTAACAAACTTAATCCTAATACTGCATCCCAAATTTTTGACACCATGGTATTCCCAATCTTGAGTTACAACAGCGAGGTATGGGGAATGTACACCAAGCAAGATTTTAAAAAATGGATAGCTCCCCAATAGAAAAAAATCCACCTCAAATTCTGTAAACGTTACTTAGAGGTTAACAATAAGGCCTCTAACATAGCCTGCAGAGCTGAACTTGATAGACTGCCGCTGCTTATCCCGATAAATTAGAAAATTATGAAATATTTTGTTTACCTCAACAACAAAGATAATGACTCTATAGTCAAACAGTCTTTCCTTATGTCAAAGAATCTACATTCTATGAATAATTCCGGATATTTTTCCAATTTCATAAACATGCTTGAACAATACAATCTAACCAGTTTAGATGCTGAATCTCTAGATAATAATAAAATTAGAGGATATACCACAGAAATGAGAGAGAAATATCTATCTTTTTGGCGGCACAGCCTCGAAAATTCAAAAAAACTAGAATTTTATAAAACTTTTAAAGATGAATATTCTACATCTGATTATCTCTACCAGCTAAGACATTATGACGAACGACAGAATTTTGTTAAATTTAAATTAAGTAATCACAAACTTATGATTGAACATGGTCGATACCAAATCGATCATTTGCCAAGAGAAAATAGATTATGTCCTTTATGTAACTCAAATCAGGTAGAAGATGAGATTCATTTCCTCTTTCAATGTAACAAATACTCAGTACAGAGACAGGCATTTATTAATCAAATCAATCGAATAATACCTGACTTTGACAAGAAATCATCTCCGGAAAGCATAAAACTGATAATGAATTCGAAGGAACATCATGTAAATAAGTTAGTTATGAAGTTTGTCTCCTCCTGCATGAAAATACGTGATTCATTGTTAGTAATGTAACCGAATTTTTCTAGATTGTTATTAGTGCTGTTTTGTTTTTATTTTGATTGTCATATACATGCTTTTGCAATACTGTAAAGTGATGCGGTCATGCAAATAAAGCAATTTATTACTTATTACTTACCTATTACTTACTACTACTACTACTACTACTACTACTACTACTACTACTACTACTACTACTACTACTACTACTACTACTACTACTACTACTACTACTACTACTACCACCACCACCACCACCACCACCACCACTACTACTACTACCACTACTACTAATAATAATAATAATGATAATAATAATAATAATAATAATAAATACATTCTTATATGGCGCATTTACAACGCTCAATACGCCTTACAATGATTTACAAATAGAAGATAAAATCAAAATCCCTATCTAATTAAGTTCACCATAATGCTTACTAACATAAAAAAAGCTTTCCTGAAAAGATGAGTTTTTAACTTGTTGTTAAAACAGATTACAGTCTTGGTATTTGTAGTGTCCTCCGGTAGGGAGTTCCACTATTTCGGTGCCATAAAATAAAAAGCTCTACACCCGTAGTTTTCAGTTTTAGCTTTTTGAGGACAGAGTAGTGAACTTGACGCTGATCTTAAAGTTCGTGACAGTTGATACATTTCAATTAACGGCTTCAGGTAGTCTGCAGACTGGCCATGTATAGTCTTATACGTTATGAGGAGAATCTTAAATTCAATCCTCTTTTCAACTGGAAACCAGTGCAGTGCAAGATCGTTAGTATGGCGTTACATAACTTTACATGATCTGAACGTTTTAGGCCCATCACAAGACGCGCCGCGGTATTCTGGATTCGTTGAAGTTTATCCCTTTGATATTTTGGAATACCGTACAAAAGACAATTACAATAGTCCAATGGCGAGTGTAGATTTCTTACAAATTTCATTGATGTAACTACTAAATGACAAATTATTATCCATAATAACACCTAGATTCCCTGCTTTCTTTTTGATGTTAATTTCAGTCCTTGCAAATGTGATGCTGTCACCAAAGAATGGTTGCTTCATAAAACGCGATGTAAAAATGCAACACCTTGGTCTTTCTTTTAAGCATGCTTCTGATTTTCCATGAGAAAATAGTGATTTAAGAACCCCATGTGTTGCCCTCGATGATGATGATGATGATGATGATGATGATTTATTTATTACTATTTTTCATTTTAACTGAATGGTCACGAGAAAACAGCTGCAACACCAGAGTAACTTTTATTATAGTATATACTAAAACAGTGGATACTGTTTTTCGCGCGCTCTGATTGTCTACTCAAAGTCGGGATATCCAGTGATATTCACTGATTCACCTCCAGCTCCTCCGAGCGAGCGACGCCAAACTCGCGTTGTAAGTTACGAGCAAAATGGTTTCCCGGTTTGATGCCGTTTGTAATCGTTGGCAGCAGTAAATAAGTTAAAAACCACCGTTTTTGTCCTCAATGTTCTCACTGTTTTAGTATATACTAAAACGATCATTCACTTTAGTGTCGGTGGCTAGTGGTGGGTGGGTACTTACTTCGCCCCGAATTTCCACCATTAGCCACCTCCACTTGAGTGAATAATTGTTACATTTGTACAGATACTGAACTTACCGTGAGAACTTAAATTGAATCCATCACTGAAAGCGATTGAAAACAAGAAAAAGAATGCTATTTAATCTCGTACATCAACATAACTTGATCTGAATTCCGTGTAGCAGAAGAAAAGCTGATCAGAATTGGCTAGATCTCCAACCTTCATCGGATTTACTACTTATGACAAATTAAAGGGGGAAGATATTGGTGGTTTTCACTGTCACGCCATCAAAAACTAAAATCAAAACCGTGGGATGTCTGAAGCCAAGAATTTCAGATATTATAGAATATCGATAAACTAATAACCTAGCCAAGTCTCACGTTTGTGCAGTTTTCCTCTGCTGAGTTGTTCTTCAAAATGTGTAACAGAAATTTATAGGGCTCACTCTGGGGACGCCATGGAGGAGCACAAATATGGCGGCCGGAAATAATGTAAACATCTGGGTTCAGTATTGCCACAAATTTGATCAGTTGTTCACTGCGAATGAGCAAATTATTCCCCTAAACACATTTTCTAATACTTTCACCATTCAAAGGGAATAACATCATGCGATAATTTTTTTTTTAGCATATGTGACGGCCTTCTCGGTCGCCATATTGGTAGGGAGCTTACGAATCGACGACTTTCGCAAGACGGCGCCGTTGGATTGCGTGACATACCAACTGCGCATGCCTGTCTTGGCACTTGCCGGCGTCGAGCAAGAGTCAACGACTTTGGCAAGAGCGATTTGCCAGCGTCTTAAAGGAAGCAGGGCGTGAGGTTAGTTTTCAAAGTTTTCTATCGATAATTCACGTGTTTTTGCCAGAAAAATCAAAGTATTATATTAGTACTGTTCTTTACGAATGTCTTTGACTTTTTTTGTCTGTTTTCATTCAATTTTACCTTCTACAGCCATGGCAACTCATGAAAGCGCTGGCGAAGGCACGAAAAGGTATGAATGAAAAGTTGATTGCTGTATGGACATATTTCTTTTGAATCACACTAAAGTATAAGACATTTTCTAGTGCTCATTAAATTTGAAAGGACCGAAAAGTCGTGTATCTTTTTTTTTTTTAATTGTCACATCAACAGTAAGAAACAGAGACGAGTTGGCTATAGCTGGTAAGTTTACATACTTCGCTGAACAAAAAAAAATTCTTACCCTGCCAGCTTTCAAGACAATTTTAAAGTCAATGAAAAGTTTATTATTACTCCTTTTCTGTTGTTAAGAGGGATCTTATAGCAAGCTTGGTGTTGTAGAAACACGCAAACTTTCCTTGGCTTACAGCTTTGTTTGCTTTTCTGCTCGCTATGCGAACTGATTTTGTTGATTTTCATGTTCTATTGTGTTATTTTCTTAAGCTTGTGAGACAAACAACCAGCGAATGTGATCTCGCAGATAAATAGCTAGCGGAGAAACGTTACCTTAACAGTTAGCTTAGTAAGTTAGTGATTTAATTGTTCAATAAATTATATTTATATATTTTTATAATCTTTTCACAGAATGCCGAAAATGAAGTGGTCAGTTAAACATGACACTACATTTGGTCGCGAACTCCTTAGCTGGGAACTATGGAAGTACCGTTCAGGCACCAGAGAGCGGGGAAACTGTTTAGACGAAATATGCAAAATTCTGAATAACATCAAAGACCCCCAATTTTGCGTTTCGCAAAAGGGTTTGAGGGACCGCTTGAAAATCCTGGAAAGGGATTCCAAGGCCAGGAAGAGAGAGGCCGAGAGGGGCTCGGGAATTTCCCCCGAATACCGAGAAATAGATCAAATAATGGAAGACTATATGGAGAGAAGAGAGGAGGAAGAGAAGACCAAGGAATCCCGCACTGACGTGGATCGAAACAAGGCAGATTAAGATAAAGCAGCAGGCGAGGAGAAGAGGGAGAGGGCCATGGAGAGACTATCTCAGACTAAGAAGAGAAATGGCAAAGATGAACCACGAAAAAAGCGCAAAAAAAGTGGTGACACCCTTGACTATCTAAGGGAGGCAGCGGAGAGGGACTCTCAGTTAAGGCGAGAGGAGCTAGACATGAAGAGGAGGCAAGACGAAGCTACAGCTGCTACCCAGCAAACATTGTTCACTCAGCTGCGGAACCAGTAGCAGTTACAGATGCAGTAACAGCAACAGCAGTGTATGCATATGATGCAAATGATGCTTAACAGCCAGCAAGCGCAAACACAAGCAGTCATTGAACTCTTAAAAAAGGGACCGTAGTAATGATCGGAGTAGTTATTGTTCAGTTTTCTTGTAAACACGCAACTTATTTTTTCCTTGTTGTTTTTGGTTTTGTAATATAGCATGAACAGGCAACCTTAGCATTCGATGTTGATTTTCATCACTTTATTGCACGTAGATGTTCTGGCACTCGTGTTAACACTACTATTGGCTTGACATGTGTTCTTTTTTGAACTTGAGTTCTATTGAATTTCAAATTAAACCTTCAAGCGACTAGAGTGTTTATGATGTATAACTGGAGTATCACAAATGTATCTTAGGCACAATATATCAAATGAAGTATTCCTCCAGAGTTGGCGGATTAACACCAAAATACTCTGACGTGACAGAACCGTATAAAATGCTTTGTGCATTCTGCATTAACGCATATGTTACATACATCTTTCCTACAGCACTCAATCCGATTTTCAGATTCTTTTTAAAATCTAAGAACTTAAAATAATTATCAATATCGCCGAATATCCACTCGACGGAAGAGCGAACTGTGCTCATTGAGGTGTTAAAATCTTGTTGAGCTGGGGTAAGGACTGCGCCTTTATAGGGCCTTTGTAGGTGTGCACGTATCGGATAGGCGGGGTCACCGTACACGCAGAGGGGAAGGCCCGTTGCGGGGCAGTTGGAAAACCTTTGCAGTTCCTGCAAGAATCCGGAGGCAGCTAGCATGAAACTGTCATGGCGTCTTCCCCCAACTGGGCCAAATAGATTCCCCACTAATCCATTAGGCAAAGCGACAGCCTGAAACTTAATGGAGTGGACACGTTTATGGCCATTGTAGATGGATCGCTGGTTTTCGTTAGGCCTACAAACTGGACGCACAGTTCCATCTATGAATCCCCAGCAGTTATCTAGGGCAGCTCCTACCTGTTGGATAGCATCAGCATACTGGCGAAGCGTGGGAGGGGATAACAAATCATGATTATACCTTGTAAGCAGATGATAGCAGCGCTCATAAATCAACTCCATTATGTGGTTATTTCTGATAGAAATCTCAGGAACCAGTCTGGCAAAATGGTAAACCAAATCTCCGTATCGGCAAGGGTAGGCATAGCGCTTAAGATACATGCATAATGCTGGTACCGAAGGTACTACTGAACCATTGTAAGTGGTTATCTCGTCAGGTAACTGCAGCTGTTCAGCAAGTTTATAAATGTCATCTCTGTTGAAACGAAACTCAACCTTGCATTCGTCGTTTGTTTTCTCGTCCAAATCGAACCTTTCGTAGTTCCAATACGGAAACTCTGGGGTTTTTTTACTTATGAACATCGTATAAAAGTACAAATTCTTGTTCTTTTAAAAAATTGTTTCGATAAGCGTAAGCAATACGAGCTCTTGTTTCTCTGAAGTTAGGCATTTTGGTTTGAACAACCCGGCTTATGATCATGAAGTGATAAAAAACAAACTTCAGAAACGGCGGGAAAATTTGCAGCAAGCGCACCAACGTCGTCGTCTTTACTTAAAATCGTAAATTCAAATTTCTAGATGACGGCGACGCAGGACTATGACGTGGCCCAACGGGGTCGTCGTGCAAAAGTCGTCAATTCGTAAGCTCTCTAGTGTCTCGCGGAGTAAACTTGGGAAATTAGAAAGGGCTACTATTTCAAAAAGGAAAACGCGATCACGTTGAAAACTTGCACAGAAGCTTATTTTTAAGAGGTCTTTTGCTAGATGGAGATAAAACCTTAAAAGTCCTTGCGATTTTGGGTTTGGATTTCTGTGACGTCACTTGAAAACCAAGAAAGGCTGTTTTTGGTCGACTCTGACTTACTGTCTTACTTCAGGGCCACACACAAAATTCCCCTGCAGAGTTATGGGGAAGTCAAGCAAATTTCATCACGGAGCACTGACCATTATTATTTAGCGATTTTTGCAGGAATTGCATTGAAACCTTGAATTCTAGGAACTTACTCAAGAAAAAAAAAAAAGGAAAGAAAAGAAAATAAAAGAGAAAAAAAGGAACAATTTAACCGAGATACACGTTTTAATCCTTTTTTCTTTTTTTTTTTTTTTGTTCGTTTCCGTTTTCTGTTAAGTTATTCAGTCGTGAGTTGATCACGAGAAATACTTCCAATAAACGCTCTCTTCATAATGTTAAATGTCGCACTTGGGGATCATGTTTCGAAGTTCGCCTTTAAATTGGTTCGTGCATGGTTGGAGTTAATATAAGCACTTTATATTAATACGTCAATGATAATGTTTCTCTTGTAAAGAGAATACTTTAGGTATACAGCACTTAGTTTTTTTGTTTAACTTCTGTCTGCACACTTAAAATTCCCTCTTCAATTCACTGACAGTGAGATTAGATTGATCTTACTTCCTTTATCGCTGACTTTTGCCAAGAAATTTCGCGACTGTTGTGACTACTGAGTGTCGACCGCTAATGCTGCACAGCCGATGCCTTGTTTTCCGACCCCACAAAAACCTTCCAATGTTCTTTATTGAGATTCCTTAAATTTGCAGGTGTAAAAATAAATTTCTACTAGATCTATTCTCTTGCGCTGTGCACCTTTCATCAGCGCCATATTTAACACTTATATATATGGGCAACATCTCTAGGCACTTAACGGTCGGTGTTCACTTTCTGCACTAAACTCATTCCGTCAATAATCGCAGCTGAATTACTTGGAATTCCTTCAACCATCCGCACATTTCTTTTCCCTCTTTGGAAAAAATTGGCTGGAGCGGTCCCGTTAGTTTTGCAGAGGAAGTCGTCGCGGTTACTGCCGGACAAAGCTGACGGCCGAGGTCCCACTCCATCTGAGGATCCCGTACCTATTTGATTACAATTATTTGGCCAAAGAGACTCCCAGCCTTTAGAATGACTGTTCGCCCGCCAAAAATGACATTTTAGCATTTTGGGGGTCATAGAATTCCTTGATGACTTGCGGAATTTTCTCCTCTTGGAAAGTTCTGTAACAGCTCTTCAATTTCTTAAGGTTTCAGCAGATCTCTTCAGTTGTTACCTCCTTTGGGAATACTTTTGCTGTAGAGGGGCTAACAAGTTCCATCTCGGGTTCTCATACATGTAGAAGGGATTTTTCCAACCTTTGATTAGCTGAACAACCGAAACAACGTCTTGTTTTTCTTTCTCTGTGCAAGATTGCCGGAAAACCTTATTTGTTTTCACCTTGCATCATGTCTCTAAGTTTCCCTTACTAGTACCCCGCTGTTAGATTATACCCTAAGGATGAAACGCAGCTGATTGTCTGGTCGACATGTATTCTCCCAAACGGATTGCGCTTTGAAATCTGAAAACGGTTTAAGCACGCGCAATCTACCGTCAACTGACTGCTAAATTATTAGTAAAAACCTCTTTATGGTAATTCCGTTATTACATTTGCGTACTATATTCTTGGCAAGAAGATTCCTCCCAATTGCAACAGTCCGTTAACCATTTCTGAAAGCGTTAAAATTTTGCTTGTGGCCGCCGAACCCTTATGAGCTTGAAGACGTGATCATAGTTTTGAAAAAGTGCACCTGCAGATTAGCGCGCTACACAACGTGACTGCCGAAAAGGATGGTTTTGTTTTGTAAGCACGCCAGGTTTTTGATAATAGACATTCGGCACGTCAGTGTACGTAGCTTGTCGCGGTTTGTCACGATGTAGCATTTTTATCGATAAAGATAGCGCTCAACAATTAAAATATTTAGGAACAGTAGCACGCGCCTAGGGCTTTATTTTTTTTGAGAACGTGAGAATGAGAACTCCGACTCACCCTGTTCCTTTAACCCTGCTATGTACGCTTCCAGAGTTGATGTAATCTGCAGATACTAAGGCAAGTATCAAGTATCAAGTAAGCAAGTATCTTGACATAATAAAAAGGTTTTCCAGATACGGACGCGCATTTGTTCGCTTTACTCGCGTGGAGACACACGTCAACTGTTACTTCTCACGCGAAATAGTATTCAAGGCATGGCTCTACTGTAAAAAATACCCGCTCTTTATTGATCGCACAACCATAATTATAGTAGGCGATAGCAAGAGAAATGACTATCACTCGAATGGGATAATCGAAGATCAAGAACCAAACCTTAACGAGAGCGGGGTTTATATCTGTTACTAAAGAGAAATTGAAAATGAAACATAAACCCTTTGCCGACTCAGAAAATATTACGAGAAGCTAAGGTTTACCACCCGAGAAACATTTTAATGACGGCCTAAATCTATTTTTACGGGAGGAATGAAATTATTTGCAATTATGTCGATCGAACAGTATACTATCTTCTGTCTATTACTGTGTAGTCGGCTGGAACATTACACAAAACGGCGTCAGCAACGAGGTTCGATGTGATAAATTAAGTACATTTACTTACCTGTGATAAATTAATGTTTACTCAATGAGAATGATTTAATCCCAGAGAAACTACGATTCCCGAAACAGGAACATTTGGAATTCTTGGACATTAGTAACTACAACTGACTTATAACAGCTTCATTTTAATAGCGACTTGATTCTATAATAAAAAACCGTGAGATCTAACGCAAAGCTCACAGGGCACGGCGAAGGGAAGGTAACCAGAGGGTTTGAAGTAATCTCGGGAAGTTAACCCTAAGAATCTATTTTGCTAAAGTAATGCTTTGATTTATTTAACGTACGATAATTGACTCGGTTGTGTTTTAC